TTGTTATAAATAATAACATTATTAACTAGTTGTGTATGGCATCGTGCTTTAAGGCAAATTGCTGGAACTTCCCGTGCCGTAACGAAATGTTCGAGGAATATTAAATGTTTTCAAATAGATTATTATAAATAAATACTGTAACATTGTCTAACATTTATAGAAGTTATATAAACTGAATTGTAAAGTTAAAGTTATTTATTTAAAGTATACAAGCGATCTTTAGAACTTTAGCCACAATTAAAATTAAAATCTAAATTATTTTCGATGCTCAAAAAAATTAAAAAAAAATTGAAATGAAATTTTTTCCCCAAAAGCAATTATTTTGTCAAAACCAGCAGAATGTTTAGAATCATCCAAATCGGATGCTTAGTTCTTTCAAAAACTGCAATTTTTGCACAATTAGCTCATTACAAATTGAATGTTTTTTTGATAATTCAAATCGGATACTCCGCTCTCTCAAAACCTCAATTTCTATTTTCTGCACTCTTTGCTCCGTATCTCCGTAACGGCTGGACCTGTCTATGCCTAAAACTAATTAGCACATCTTCCTATCAATAGGAATCGAATGTTTTTTGAATCATTCAATCGTTTCACGAAAAATTGTATCCTTACATACATACATACACACACACATCCATTTTTTCTGAGATATGCCAAAATGTTCAAAAGCCTTCAAAACGTGAAGAAATGTAAAAATTTCGATTTTTGGACGATTACAATAACTTACCCTGCGGGAAGTTAAAAAAGTATATCATTTTTTATTTGTTATGATTCTGAAAGTATTATCAGAATGATTGAAGTATCCAACAATTCAGAAATGTAAAATGGTTTTGATGTGAAGATATAGATTTCGTCCAGCAATTAAACAAAAGTATACATACACAATGTATATTATTGTTTTATTTCAAGTATATATGTAAATATACTCAAGCAAGATTTTTATCACGTCTTTCGAGTTTTTAAATCATTATACAACTTTGATATTACCTTTGTTTTAATTATTGTTCCCGAAGGTTCACTAGTTTCAAGTATGATCATATCTTACTGTTGATAGCTTCATGTCCACAATCTAAATATTTTGTACAATGACAACAATGAATGTCCAATGCAAAACGGTTATTTCCATATTATTTATTTACTCTTACTAATAATTATTTGCTTAATTATAGTCTAGACATTGCTATTTGATCTTATGATTTTCGGCAATAAAAAATTATTGACATTGATATGCGGATTTAAATCATAACGCTTAAGTAATCATTTGCTTTCAAGCAGGTGTTTGTTGTTTTTGTAGCAACTTTTTGTATTTGTTTAATGATCAACATGTTTAATTCATTATTCTTTGATAATATCTTTATGCGTTTATTTTTGTTTAAAAACAATAAAAGTATGTACACACTGGTAATATCCACGGAAAATAATTTCAGTGAGCACTTTGAAATAAAAATTTTATACTAAATGACTAATTCGGGAGTATTCCTGTATTCTATTTACAGCCACTCTGATTAATTAAAAATTTTAAAGTTTCAAATTAATTGGTAAAAACTTTAGGGATGCTTTCAAGACAAATTTGTTGAATGCTGATAAAAAAATAAGAAAACTACCACACTAAACAATCTCACTAATTGACATATTACAAATCCGAATATGAAAAATATAAAACATTTTTATGGTCTTGTTTTTTAGAATATTAATTGATAGTCCAAAATCTATTTAGTAATTCTAATTAGTTAATTGATTAAAGCAGATTTATTGAGCAGAGATAGGATATTGTTGATATATAATAGCATTTTGTGTAAATGTGATGTGATGAATAATTATGAATTTAAACTTATTTATATTATTCATATACAGGGCCCTTTAAATATTTTTTTGCAAATGTTATAAAATTTCTGTTTTTTTATTTCAAAGTAGAATCTTCCAGTTAATAATGGAAAATAATTTTATTCAAATATGTATTTAGTTTCAATATTCAAAAGTCATCACAAAATTCTGTATAACAATTTACTATCTTTGCTCAAATAATTTCTGAAAAGAATATAAGATTTAAAATTTTCAATTAATATTCTATAAAAAAGCATTATAGAATCAAATGTATACGCTGAATGCTAGTGCAAAGGTAAAAAACAAACAATATAAAATTTAAGAAAAAAATAATATAAACTTTAAAAATCAAAAAAAAAAAAAATTACAAAAAGTTTACACACTCAAATTTTGCAATTAAAGTACAATTGTACTATTTTGATTTATATCGTAAAATATAAGCACAAAGGTGTGCTTTCCAATTAATTAGATTTTTTTAATACTTATATATAAGCAAATTATAAAAAAAGTCGTTTTATACTAAGTTATAATTTCATATGAAGTATTCTTAATTCAGCATATGATCATTTAAAATAAATAATATAAAAAATCAAATTTAATAAGTTAAATTAACTTAAAAAAAATATTAGTAATTATCAATAATTAATTGAAAATTCTAAATTTACTCGTAATATAACATGCTGCTGTAAAAAGTAGTGACTTTTTAGAAAATGAATTTGGTTGTCATATATAATTTCATTATTTTTATCAATTTATTTGAATTTTACAAATATCAAATGAATTCAATCGCTTGCAATTTAGAAATTCAATTGTAATTTATGCAAGTTTGTAGCAATAAATTGTGTTTGCATCAATTTACAACACGAACTAATGGAAAGGTCACTAGCTGTCCATATAAACTCATGAATATCTATCTATATATAAATATAATAATAAAAATCCAAAACTCAACTGATGAATGAATTATGCAAATTCAATTGCATAATTCACTAATCTATGCGTTTTGGAAATTTTTACTATATTGCCTCCGTATTAATTAGAGCACAATCTAGCAAACATATTACTTTAAACAAATCTGTTGTTTATTACTAACGGATTTCTAAATTTTGAAATATAATTAATTTCTGCGGAATTTTTTAGTGCGTAATTCTGCATTAATAAATAAAATGCAATTGAGAATAAAATAAAAAAATAAAATTGACATAGAAATTATTTTATAAAAAAGTAGTAAAACACTTCATTTATGTCCCTATATAAAAACTAATTTAATTTGTAATTTATTTACTGTAATGTCGTTGCATATATATTGTGTTCTGGACAGGACAGTTTTTAAATTTTAATGTTTAGTATAGAGGTCTCAAAAAGTAAAAAATTTTAAAACTGCTGGTTAATTCAAAATTGCTGCAACAAATCACAATTTTTTTTTTAAAGGTTTTGAATACAAACTATACTATAGAAATGATAATAACGACAACAAAACAATTTATATTGGGGCATACACGAGTAATATGCTAATTATATATAATATTTACTTATGATTAATAAATTTTTTTGAATTAATTTAAAATTGAAATCAATCCTTATATATATACGAGTATATATATATATATATATATATATATATATATAAATATAATTATCATAAAAAATTTATTATTTTAAAGTATGTAATGTAAAGTATAAAGAATTTTTATATCAACAGTGCATATCAAACTAAAGGTAAATTGATCAGTAAAATTAATTAGAAGTTACTTGCTCAAATGCAAGTTGAGTAATAAATATTTAAAATTACCAATAATTTTAAATTTTTATATGAATCAGACGAAAATAATTAAAAGTTTCTTGCTCAGATGCAAAATAAATAATAAGTATTTAAAATTAACCATCAGTTTAAATTTTAAATAAATTTGAAAAAAATATTTAAAAGTTATATTTGCTCAACTGTGATAATAAATATTGAAAATTAACAATAGTTTTAAATATTATATAATTTAGAAAAAATAAAGTTGTGCAAATTGAATAAAAATGAATAATTTCACGTCTTATTGTTAGTTACACTAAACGAAACAAAAATTTATGGTATTTAAATGAAAAAAGTATTAAATTCCAATATTAAAATAAAATTAAAAACGTTTCGGAATCATAACGAATGTATGTAATAGTTCAGCAATTAATTTGTTTGTAAATAAATTTGATGGTATTTAGATGAGAAAACTGTTAAATTCCGACTTAAAATAATATAATAAATATTGCTGATAAATAATAAATGTTTGTAATCAACTAACAAATCTGGTCCGTCACTAAAATTAATAATGTAGCTTTAGTAATTAATTTATTTGCTAATGAATTTTGTGGTATTTAGATGGGAAAACTGTTAAATTCCGACATTAAAATAATATAATAAATAATTCTGATAAATAACGAAGGTTTGTAATCATCTAACAAATCCGATCTATCACTAAAATTAATAATGTAGCCTTAGTAATTAATTTTATTTTTATTTATTTTGTGGTATTTATATGGGAAATGTATTAAATTCCGATATTAATATAAAATAATAAATGTTTCTAAATTATAACAAATGCGTGTAATTATTTAAGATATCGTTCTATCACTGAAACTAGTAATGTAAATTCAGTAATTAATTTATTTGTTAATAAATTTTATGGAATTTAGATGGGATAAGTTATTAAAGTAAGATAATAGATGTTTTTGAATTTTAAAAAATGTTTATAATCATTTAACGTATCCTTCCTTCTACTATTTAAACGTTATTTGAAATTTATATTAAACTTAAATAATTTACTTTAGTATTAACTCAGTTTCAAATAATTTATTTATTAACAACTTTCATGGTATTTATATGGGAAAAGTGTTAAATTTCGATATTAGAATAAGATTATAAATGTTTCTTAATCATAACAAATGCATGTATTCTTTTAAGAAATCCGTCCCACCACTTAAACTAAAAATATATTTAATAATTAATTTATCAAGCAATTTGACAATAAACTATGCCAAAAAAAAGCATATTTGATTTGCAGTTCGTTGGTTGATTAGGCTTTACCTTGGCACTATTGCGATTGCATTTTCACTATTTTTAATGGAATCTAAGATTAAGTATATTTATAACTCATATAACATTATTTAAATTAATATTATTAGTTAGTACTCACTTCATAATGTAAGTTTCTTCGATCAGTTCAACTGCACAAATCAATTTGATTCACCTCACAATTAAACGTGTGCGTCCAAAGTAAAGACCGTTACCAAACTGACACCTTCTCGGCACCGACTAATCGTGGTATCTGTTGAAACTCGAAAACATAAATGTTTCGATCGACCATCTACCGATCATTTTATAATTTATATCTTGTTATTGATTTTTCTGCTTAATACGCCCATTAACATAAAACAAACGCCGATTATTAGCATAACGACAGTTAATTTGCACTGTCAGTTTACTGATAAAAAAGACACATGATAATTAAATAAATATTTGGTTTTCCTTATTTAAAATAATGTGATGAATGATAATTATATTGCTGTTGATAATCCAGAAATATATATTAGTAATATATATTTTTACTCATATATCTTTTTGCATCATTTCGCTTTGCGTTTTTTAACTTCCCGTACGGTAAGTTATGTTGGTAATCATCCAAAAATCGAAAATGAAAACTTCTGCATATCTTTCCATTTCAGAGGTTTCTAAACATTTTTGTATGTAGTATGTATGTAATGTATGAGTGAATGTATGAATAAAATTTTTCGTTGACATTTCCGGAAACACCGCTCAACCGATTTGAATTATTCAAAGAGCATTCGATTCCTTTTAATGAGGAGATGTGTTGATTAGTTTTTGGGAAAATGGGTGCAGAAAATGGAAATTAAGTTTGTAAGCATCCGATTTGAAAGATTTCAAAATTGTTCAAAATTCCCAAAAAAATCTTTTTTCTGATCTTTCAAAAATATTAAATTACGGTACGGAAAGTTCCAGCAAATTACCTTAGGCCAGGATGATTTTTTCAAAGTTTTAATTTTTACTGGGCGTAGTTAGATTTTTCAAATTGCGTTGATTTGAATTCGAATATTTCATTTGTTTTTGGTATAAATGATTTGATTACCCAACACAACCAAAAACTCTCTAACAAAAGTCTACTATTGCAACAAGAATTACAATTGTAATTGAACATTATAATATAACCAAGTTGAAAAATCTAACAACGACCAGTAAAAATTAAAACTTCGAAAAGAACATCCTGGGTTAAGGCAATTTACTGAAACTTCTAGTACCGTAATTTAATATTTTCAAAGGATCAGAAGGTAATTGCTGCAACTTCCCATACCGTAACGAAATGTTCGAGAAATATTATATATTAAATGTTTTCAAATAAATTATTACAAATATTGTAACATTTGCATAATATTTATTTATAATAATTATATAAACTGAATTACAAAATTATTTATTTGAAGTATATGAGTGAGCTTTAAAACTTTAGCCAGAATAAATATATAAGGTTGTCAAATATCTCCCTTCCGGCTTTTTGTATTATAAACCAAGAGCAAAAAAAGCGGAAGGGAGATATTTGACAACCTAATAGAAATCTGAATTATAGTCAACATACAAAAAAAATGTCAATTTTTTTTCAAAAGCAACTGTTTTGTCAACACAAACAAAAAGTTTTTTGAATCATTCAATTTGGATGCTTATTTCTCTCAAAAACTGCCTTTTTTGTATATTTAACTCTGTATCTTCGAAATGGCTGGGCCTGCTTTTGCCAAAAACTGATAACCATTTCTCCCAATCATTACTAATTGAATGTTTTGTAGATCATCAATTTTTTTTATAACAATTACAATATTTTTATAATATATATTATGTATTATTTGGCATAATTTCAGTTAAACATATTTAAATAAAATTGTTAGAAAAATTAGGGGGTGGCGCAATGAAGAAAAGGTTCAAAATCGCTGTCTTGACCCTTTCCACTCGTCAATTGAGAGATTTATATGTCCGATTTGAATAACTCAAAAAACATTTCATTTGTATTGACGTAATGAAAAACGATTAAATTTCTGAGAAGGCAGGTCTAGCGGTTTCGGAGATACAATAAAAAAAAAGTGAAAAAATGCCATTTGGCGGACAAAAACGATCGTTAGATAAACGCACATCAAATTATTACATATTTTATAAAGATTTTAATAATTAGTATAAATTTTGTTTACATTTCTATGGATTCCGTTCCAATGCTTATCCGTTATACTGCGACGCGACGTCCACGCGCTTCTATATTTCGTTTCTACGCTGCTAACGTATCGCCATTGCTTTGAAAAATAGTTCAAAATTTCCAAAATAATTCAAAGTACAAAAAAATCAAATTTTTCAAAAAGGTCATTTTTTTCAAAAATTTTAATTATCTCAGAAATCGATTTTTTTTCATAGTTCTAAAACAATATGAATCTTTTTTTAAAAGATTAATTTTTGGTATGGAAAGTTTCAGCAATTTGCCTTAACCTGGGTATCTCGAAATGGCCATAAAACAGCATTTAGTTTAGAACCAGTCGCGTTTTGTTTTTTGTCCGCCCAGACAACTTTGCAAAAATTATATAATACTATTTTCAATAAAATATATAAACTACTTGCGTTTTTCGGTGATTTTAGTTGTTACAGTTGACTAGATAGCTCCAGCAAATGTAACTATGCTTAACACATTTTGTATTTATTACTAAATTAGTTTTGTGGTACAGTAAAAAATTTTCATTGTTTTTATAGGAAGGTTGGTCCTGATGTGTACCAACAAAAAGTACGGACAGTACTACGGTTAACAAGCCTCACAAGCCGCCGCCCTATTAATTAAAATAATTTTTTTTAATTTTCATTTCAATATATATGACACATTCAAAATATTACACAAACCGATTTTTTGAATACCGTCCCGAAAGGGTTAAGGCCCGATGCCATGCACCACTAGATTTTTGTCAAACTAAACAAAAAGGTCTTGAGAACAATAAGCAGGCAAAAATGAATATATATATATATATATAATTATATATATATATATATATATATATATATATTAGGTTGTCAAATATCTCCCTTCCGCCTTTTTGTCTTTTGAATTGCATTGAATAAAGAGCAAAAAAGCGGAAGGGAGATATTTGACAACCTAATATATATATATATATATATATATATATATATATATATATATATATATATATATATAGATTGCTATATTATGCAATTACTCCATATGTCTATTATTGTAGGTTTAAATTATTATGAAAAAGATATCAGCATCTGTGCAAATTTCATGTTAAATATATAATTTATTTATTTAAGCGTGAATTAATTGATATTGAAAATATGTAAGGTCAACGTTGAAGTTTTGTGAACTCCGGACTCTTCATTTGGCATATTTTCACTTTCAACAGGATTAATCATCTAAATTTAATAAAAAGTGTTAATTTAGTTGCAAAGTAAAATATCGTATTATATACTAAATAGCATTTGTTCATCAGTATGATATACTTTTATTATATTTTTGAGATTATTTTTAATTATCATCAGAATCATTTTTAATTTGGCGTACCTAGTAATTTCTGTTTTACTGAAAATGAGTGAAATATCATTGACTTATTTAATCATTGGCTTCTTTGTTTAACTAGAAATCATTGGAGAAATCACTTGGCCCTTAACCCAATTAAGTTCATAGCTTTTGTAAAAAAACATTGAAATGTTTAATTTCTTAGTTACTTAATTGAAAAAAAAATTAAATAAAATGAATTTTTACTTGATTTAAATCAAATGGCGCCTTTCCACTTAACTACTTAACATGTTTTATGCAAAGTCCATATAAAATAAAACGAAGATTTATTATCTAGATTTAACCATCAAATAATTATATCTAAATATAAAATTTGAATCAATTAATTTAACATGGGCGTTACTTTACTCTAGTTCCAAGGTAACTAAAAGATTAAATTTTGTAGTAAATTTTTTCGCGTGTTATTTCCTATCAATAGCTATTTATATACGTATCATTTTACCAAAAATCTGCTATTTGATATGACTTTATATATTATGTAACACACTAAAATAATACAAGATAAGACACAATTTGCAATTGGTACTTTTGCAAACTGTACTATAATAGCTTTTACAGAAGAAAAGTAAAAATTATTAAATTTAATCGTGAATATTAATAGGTTACCTTAAAGAAGGAAATAAGCCCTCCAGTTCAATGTATATATCTTATTTCGTTTCAAATTTATCAACCTTTAATGATGTTTAACAATTTTTGTGATTGCTGAATTTTGATTACTGTAAAAAAACACATCTGGGGTCAGTACATCCATTTTTTTTTTCAAGGTATGCCAAAATGTTCAGAAACCTTTGAAATACAAAAATTTGCATTTTTGATTTTTTGCGATTACTATTACGTGAATATTGCAAGAATTTACATTACTTTGTATGCTTATTTAATGAAAACAGAACGTATTTAAAAAACAGAAAAAAATAAAATATTCGATACTATTACAGTCATATTTGTATTTTAAATTAGCATAATAAATATCGTTGATAATATTTATAACAACATATTTTTTTAATAAAATACAACTTGACTTGTTTCATATTATTGGATATTAATTTGACTATAAGAAAGTATTATTAAGGTCTTGTTTTTCAAACTCTTATATATAATTTTCTAATATCAATCAATGGACTTAAAATTTCCGTCATACATATGTCACATATATTATTTTTATAATAAAACTTACAATGCTCCCTTCATTAATATGTGATAAACAGTAGAAGAAAATATAGTAAAATACAATATTAGTTACAATTAATATTATAAGATTTTGCCTTTGCAATTTTTAAAATATTTATCTTTTTTATAAATAAAGATCATTGTCGACCCATTGCCAAGTCTTTGGTTTAGTTTCGTCCCTGGTGTAACTTACACATCTTTTTATATGTCTGCAAAACAGTAAAACATATTAAAAATATTATATTTTTTGTGCATTTTTAATTACAATTTGTCACACTTAGGACATTCAGTAATTGTTTTGACTTTATTGTATGGATGGCAACCCATCAGTAGTTGTCCAATCCTATTTATAATTAACTATACTCGAAGAATTTGCTGACAATTTTATTATATAAAGTTGTCAAATATCTCCCTTCCGCCTTTTTGTATTATAAAGCAAGAGCAAAAAAGCGGAAGGGAGATATTTGACAAGAGAATCGAGCCGGCGAACTCGGGCCCAAAAATAATATAATAATCGTTATATTTTGTGTGAAAAAGCTTTTGAAAATTTCATTAATATTTAGCGTATTAATCATAAATTTCTAAGAGATTTTAAGTTATGCATAAAATAGTTATACATATTAAAGATGAATAAATATTTTTTGTTTGAAGTTCTACAATTACACATACATAACTTAAAATCCCTTAGGTAATTTGATATTTTGCTTTTCATATCTATCTTCGTACATATATTACCTTTATTAATTCTACTTTAAACATGTAACATAAAACCGACAAGTATTCACAAAATACTATTATATATATTATCTATTATGTATTATTATACTGTTTTGTATCTAAATACCCGAACGTTAAAAATGTTAATCAACTAGTGAAGCGCATGACATCGTGCCTTAAGGCAATTTGCTGGAACTTCCCGTACCAAAAATTATTTTTTTAGAATACAGTTTTGAAAAAATTAGATTTTTGAGAAACTATAAATTTTTGACAAAAATTTACTTTTTTGGAAAAAAAATGTTTTCTTTATTTTGAACTATTTTGGAAATTCTGAACTTTTTTTCAGAACAATCGTACTGCTTTAACTCCATAGAGACAAAATATTGAAGCGCGTAAGCGTCTAACGGATAAACATTGGTACGGAACCCATAGGAATGTAAACAAAATTTATACTTATTGTTAAAATCTCTAAAAAATATCTGATAATTTGATGTGCATATGTCTAATGATCATTTTTGACTGCGTAATGGCATTTTTTTACTTCTTTCACTAGATCTCCAAATCTAGTCAATACAAATAAAATGTTTTTTGAATTATTAAAATCGGACGCCTCGTTCTCTTAAAAACTGAGTTACGGTTTGTGTCACTTTTTGTTCCGTATCTTCGAAACGGCTAGACCTGCTTATGCCAAAAACTAATCAACACGTCTCCTTATCAACAGCAATTTAATGTTTTTTGAATAATTGAAATCGGTTGATTCATGTTCCCGAAATCGTCGACGAAAATTTGTATCCGCGCACACACACCTGAACAAAGACACACATATATTTTTTCTAAGGTATGTCAAAATGTTCAGAAACCTCTGAAACGTTAAGATATATAAAAATTTTCATATTCGTTTTTCTGCGATTACCATAACTTATGCTATGCGAAGTTAAAAATATCGTAACAATTGATTCAATTTTTCAATTTCAATCAATTGTGTCGATCAAATTCTGGATGATTCTGAACAGATAATATACATTTAATAGTTACATTTATAAGCTATTATTATATATAAGAAATATTTATTATCGCATACCTTCTCTCGCAATCCACAATTGGATAATCATATGTATAGCATTGTGGACCTAAAACTGTGAAATAAGTGTAGGCTACTTTTTTTGCAAAAATGTTATTGGCATTTTCTAAGCAGTTGTAGAATGCTTGATCGCAATCACAAGTAGATCTGAAAAATTCAAATAATAGGACTTGACTATTGTAATATTTTATTACAGTAAATTGAAGAAATTATTCAACTAGCCTCGTAAATAATCCAGTATTAATGAGACCATGTTTTTCTTCTCCTGCCGGCAAATTATCAGTACATCGAGTATGTGCTCTGCAACAATTATCGGTGTCTCTGAGTAAGCCCAAATCATTATCATTTTCAGCCCTATCGTGTACTGCGCACCAAAGAGTTCCTGAAATATGTAATATTTAAAGCATCAGTAACTGAAAGAAACCTGCTCAGTTTCCTAAAAAGAGTTTAAGAGCTATTGTCATTCGAAAATACATTCCTATCTATATTTCTAAATAAAAACTAATGTTACTACTACTTCAAATCAGGCTGGTATGGAACTACTTCAAATCGAAGGGGGTATCGAACATGAAACTTGATTCAGATCCCATCCCTCGAACCACTTATAACACTTTATTTGTTAGTATAATCCTTGTACTCAATAATTTATCTATGCAAGATACATTTAAATTCTTTAAATCTCCAAAAACTTCATAAACCAAGTTTTCAGATCTTGCATAGATAAATTGTTGAGTATATAGTATAGTATAATTGTATTAACACATAAAGTTAATTTAAAGGATTTTAACAAAATCAGTCTCCATATTGAATTTAGTTTTGTATGTCATAAATATATATGTATCTTCCGCCTGCATTTGTCTCACTCGTAGGTGAGTGGTAAGAGCGATGGGTTTCGGGTTCGATACCAGCTTCTGTGTAAAACCCAGTTGTATATCTTAATATACAGATGGCCCTGTCTTTCATCTAATATCATAAATTGATAGGTTCCCATTAATTAGATCGATATTAAAAACACTTAAACACACAACAAATAACAGACTATATTTTGTATTATTGGAACTTAAAGTCTCTAAAACAAATCAATATTTGTTGTTCATATTTAGCACAATAGTTTTCCTCAGTCATTACTAAGATGCACTAAAATAAAAAAATATATGATTGAAGATATTATTTCAATTTAAAATGAACCTGGAAGTATGGCATCAACTTGATCCTTTACACTTAGGTTAGCAGGCAGGAGTTGCAAAAATTCAGGTTCCAAATCAAGTGCACGATCCGCTTCTTTTCTGTTTAAGATATTATCTCCCAAGTTCAATACTTGTGCTACTTCTTTTCCAACGCCCTTCAATACATTATGAGCAAACCTTACTGTAAAAATATTCATTAGTAATATTTTTTATTATTTTGGTCTGTATAAGTATTTCATTTGAAGCCTAAGGTAATACGACAGCCAATCAGTAAGTTTAATACGTTTTAGTTAATTAAACATTTAGAGTAATTAAATATATTCTTTTCACAATACTATTAGTACGCGTATTTTACAAAACTAGTGACATTGTGCCAGTGGCGGATTAGGCTTTCTGCCGCTCTAGGCCCTATCTGTTAAGGCGCCCTTTTTAATAGATAAAACTTTACTTTTTTAGTTAAATAATTTATTTTAAATTATTTAGATATAATTTTTAACTTTGTATAGTTATAGTAATCGCAAAAGAATCGAAAATTATATTTTTTCTTATCTTCACGTTTCAAGCAAGGCCTTCTGAACATTTTGGTATACCTAAAAATGTGTATGTATGTATGTTCGATTCCCATTGATACAAAGACGTTCTGATTAGTTTTTCGCTAAGGCTGATCCAGTTGTTTCGAAGATACGAAGCAAAAAGTGCAAATAGAAATCAGAACCTCATGATCTCAACCTTTTCCATATGTCGTATTTTTGTAGATGGTAACCCGTGTTGATCCATCCATATTTGATTACTTTATTATTAGAAATTATTTACTAGGACTAACTTATTATTAACTTCACGAAGGAGCAGCTTGTTTGAAAATTTAGAGCTCTTGCAAAGCAATGTTAACAAAATTTGTATTTATTATTAATATTCTTATAAAGTATCTGATAATTTAATGTGCGTATGTCCAATGATAATTTTTCACCACCAAGTGTAATTCTTATATTTTTTTCTGGATCTTCACAACCGCTAAACCTGCCTTCCCAAAAATTGATTAATACTTCATTTCGTCAATATGAGTAAAATGTTTTTGTAATCATTCAAATCGGACGCTCTGTTCTCTCAAAAACCGAATTTCCATTTTTGTTACTTTTTCCCCGTATCTTCGAAATGGTTGAATCTGCCTTTGCCAAATACTAATCAGCACGTCTACCTATCAGTAGGAATCGAATGTCTAATAACTTGATGTGCAAATATCCATTGAAATTTTTGACCACCATTTGGAATTCCCTTCACGGGTAAGTTATAGTAATTCGAAAAACGAAACGCAAGTAAAATATCGCACTTTTTGCCCCGTATCTTCGGAACGTCTACGCCTGCCTTCGCCTAAAAACTAATTTACAAATTTACAAAAAATGTTAGAGCTTTAATAAAATACAAATTACGGTACGGGAAGTTCCAGTTTTAATTATTTTGATAATGTTAATGCGTCACTGAACAAAAAATCATAAAGAAATAAAACATTTAAATTTACCTAAACCACGAATTTCCTCCTGTTCATGCAAAGCTTCATTTCCAGATAATGGTGCTTGAGCTGTGTGTGGTAGAATTGATCGATCTATTATATCTAGTATTCCACTCTAAAAATTATGATAGGATTGGTGATTCACTGACTCAAATTTATTGCTTAACATTAACTTAGTAAATAAAAATTTTTACAGCATCTTTATCTACCTGTTTATTAGACCCAATTATAGGTAGGAACAATCCACTGACTAATGAACCCGCGCAAAGTATTGCCGTAATGATCGTACAGTTCCTGAAACATGCAAAAATATTAATTAATTTTTATAATTATATATTGTATAATTTTTTTTCCAATTCCAATTCAAACTTGAATTTTAGTTTTGATTTAAATCTGACAAAATATATTTATTAAAATTTAATTAATAGTAACAGCTCTTCATCTTGTCAAAACAAAAAAAATGTTTTCTGAATCATCCCAATCGCGTGCTCCGTTCCCTCAAAAACTGAATTACCGTTTTTGGCACTTTTTGCCCCGTATCTTCGGAACGGCTAGACCTGCCTTCGCAAAAAACTAATCAGCACAGCTCTTTATCAATACCAATCGAATGTTTTGAAATCGGTTGGCCGGTGTTCCCGAAATCGTCGACGAAAATTTGTATCCGCGCACACACACACACATATACATCCATTTTTTCTAAGGTATGCCAAAATATTCAGAAAGCTTTGAAACCTAAAGATTTAAAACGTAAAAAAATTCAGTTTCGATTTTTTAGCGATTACTACAACTTACCCTACGGGAAGTTAATAACAAATCCGAATCATAACAAATATATGTAATCATTTAGCAAATCTATTCAAATTACTAAAATTATTAATGTGATTTTGCTAATTAGTTTATCGATCAATGTATTAATACACTATGCTACAAAGTATTTAATATTCTTGAGTTGTCCTCTTCTAGTTTACAACAGGCTTATCGTTATTTTGTATTGTGTTAAAACACTATTTTGCATAGAACATAACATGAATATATTTATAATATATAATAGCAGTTAAATTAGCATTTTAATTTGAACTCACTTCATAATGAACGTTTCTTCGATCAGTTCAAAAGTACGAATATATTTTATTCACCTCACAATTAAACGTGTGCGTTCAAAGTAAAGACCGATACCAAACTGACACCTTCTCGGCCCCAACTAATCGTAATATCTGTTGAAACACGAAAACAGAAATGTTTGGATTCACCATCAAACGATAATTTTATAATTTTGATCTTGTTTTTGAGTTTTTACTATTTGCGGCCGTTAACCCAAAAACAAACGCTGATTATAAGTATAGCGACGTGTATTGTCGTTATTAGTATTAATTTTTTATATATGCCAAAATGTTCAGAAACCTTCAAAACGTAAAGAAATGCAAAAATTTTCATTTTCGATTTTCGGCCCATTACTATAACTACCCCATGGGAAGTTAAAAAGGCGCCACTTTGGCACATTTTCAATACTATATAGGCCATAAGGTGAGATACAAAGTTGAAGTTTGGTATATCAAAAAGACCTTCAAAATGGCATATAAACTATTTAAATACAAGGGTGGAGCCGATTATGCAGTGGCGGATCCAGGGAGTGGGTCACGGGGGTCATGACCCCCCCCCCCCTCCCGAGCTTGTCTTAAGACTTAGATAGAACACTAATTCAGCAATAAAATCACTGCATAATGATTTTATTTATGTATTTTGTTACCAAACACATTCTATAAATTCAATATGTAACTCGGAGTCAAAGTCTCCTAAAATTTAAGGATTTTGTGATCGTATTCCGAATATATGTTTCATTCATAATTTAATTGTGAATTTTTTTTATATTTTGAAATATTTTGGAAATTTTGAACAGTTTTTCAAAGCAGTCGCACTACGTTAGCTGCGTAGAAACGAAATATAGAAGCGCGTGCGCGCTGCATTGCAGTATAACGAATAAACATTGGTACGAAACCCTCAACAATGTAAACAAAATTTGTTCTTATTATTAAAACATATATAAAATATGTGATAATTTGATGTGCATAAGTCTAATGATCATTTTTGTTCACCAAATGGAATTTTTTGTTACGCTAGACCTGCCTTCCCAAAAATTTCATCAGTTTTTTTATTTCGTCAGTACAAATAAAATGTTCGCTCCGTTCTCTCAAGACATCAGTTACCATTTTTAGTACTTTCTGCCCCGTATCTCCAAAACGACTCGACCTGTCTTTGCCAAAAACTATTCAGCACGTCTCCTTATCAATACGAATCCAAAGATTTTTATTTAAATTATTCAAATCAGTTGACCGGTGTTCCCGAAGTCGTCGATGAAAATTTGTATCCGTACACACACATCCATTTTTTTTCTAAGGTATACCAATATATTCAGAAACCTTTGAAACGTAAAGATATATAAAAAAAATATTTTCGATATTTTTGCGATTACTATAACTTACCCTACGGGAAGTTAATTAACACTGGCGTTTAACAAGATAAATATCCATTTTCGTGTGATGCACATTTCATTGTTAGAGAACATTCTTTCTGAAGATTGAGATTTGCTAAAACTTCAACTTCAAGCTGTTGTAGAAAATTATTAATTTTTACGTTAAGCACCTTCTAATCTGACGAAAGGTCAACCTCGTTGTATATCAGTGAGTTTAATTAGTTTTTTATATAATATCATGAAATACACAATTTGTAAAATTATTTTGGGTAACACAGTTCTTATCTGTCATTATAATGATTATTGCAAAAAAGATTTTTTTACATATCAAATTCTTTTACTTCAAACCAGATTTGATAGTAGTGTTACATAATCTGGGAATGTGCAAAAAGTGATATGGAAAAAACTATATTTAGAAGTTATTATAACCTACTGATCATATTTTTCAAAACAAATTTTATCAAGCAATTTTTATCGCGTTATATAAACTGAATGCATGTAATACGTGATGTACGTGATGTACAACGCTTTACAGTATTTTTAAAAATAATATTTATAACATTCTTATTTGTTTTATAAGCTGTTTTTAACAATGCTTATATCAAGTTATCGAAGTTGTTAGAAGACAATCCATCGATTGTGGAATTTTATTAATAAGTATTATTATTATATGAACAGCAATCAGTGAAATTTTATTAATATTATTATTTTTGGAACAGCAATCGATTTGACTTAAAACTACATCGGTTTTATAGAGAGCAACCCAAACGGTTGTCCCAATTCTTTGTAATTTTTTATTATTACAATCAGTAGTAGTGAGGAATTTTTTATTGATGTAGTGATGCCAGATAAAGTATATTTTTGAAAGTCAAATAAAAACCGATGTCACTATTACTTGATAGTCCTAATTGATGGAGATATTAGGAAATATATTTTTATTTATTTATTATAAAAGCCGAGGTTCGTCTCTAGTTGTGATATTACAGCAACGTAGAAGCTATATTTCTACAATCCGAGGTGGATATTTACCTGAACCTTCAGTTCAGTTGAAAAACCAAAGCCCTTGTTTATATAAGCCTATTTGTTTATATAAGGCAAAAAGTTCATATAAGGCAAAAATATTAAATTAATCGCTTGTTAAATTCTGATTGCTCTTAAAATTTCTTAATTCACATAAAATGAATATATTTTTCAATGTTATTCTGGTTTTATAGGCGCTACTAAATAAGTTTTTTTTTAACTTTCCATAAGGTAAGTTATTGCAATCGTCCAAAAATCGAAATTGAAATTTTTTACATTTCTTCACGTTTTGAAGGTTACTGAACATTCAGGCATTTCTCGGAAAAAATTGATGTACGTGTGTTGAGAAAAAGAAAAAAAAATTGTGTAAGCATGCATGTATGGATACAATTTTTCGTCCACGTTTTCAGGCGCATAGATCAACCGACTTGAATGGTTTAAACAACATTCGATTCCTATTGATAGGGAGATGTGCTGATTAGTTTTTGGCACAGACAGGTCCAGCCGTTTTAAAGATACCGAGCTAAATGTGCAAAAAATGGTACTTTTTGAGGGAACTAAGCATCCGATCTGAATGATTCAAAAAACTTTCTGCTGGTTTTGACAAAATAATTGCCCTTGGAAACAAATATATTTCAATTATTTTCTTCCAGATTTTCTTTTTCAAAAAAAAAAATTTTTTGTATATCGAAAATAATTCAGATTTTATTTTCTGGCTAAAGTTCTAAAGCTCGCTTATACTTATATATATATATGTATATATATATATATATATATATATATATATATACAAGTAATTTAATAATATGAACAATTTATAATCTTTTATTTTTATAATAATAACGAAAAATAAAGCTGACATTAGACCTTTTGGTCTCAAAATTCTAAAACAAGTGCGATCTAATTTGTTATGTCAATTTGTTATATTAAAATTTATCAAATGCGTATTTTTATTTTTATGTGATAATTCATTTAGTAAAAAACAAAATGTTTCAAGATGACTATGAAGTCATTGATGAACCCGAATTAGATCCACCGATTTTAGACCATGAAGAGTTTCTACCAGTTGATGCTTTTTCTCAACGTTTCGTTGATAGGATAATAAACTACGTAAAAACACAAGTAATAGTTAATTGATCATAATTTATTATATTTTTAGGGTACTATATTATTGTACCACTTGGTGAAATAAATATGTTTTAAAGGTAGGTGAAGAGAGCGATACACGGGTTGATAGTGATACTAATATTATTAATGTACGCCACCATATAGATTCTTCAGAAAACTACCAATATATTCAAGATGAAGAAAAATTAGACACTGGTAATTATATAGTAGTGCAGAAAGTTATAAAAATTAAATTAAATTAAATTAAACTAATATAGGAAATAACATGTAGGGGAGACTGAGTACTTTTTTTGATCGGCAATAACTTTGTTAATTTACCAGTTAGCTGGGAGAAAAGTAAATTAAATGGTAATTTCGACATTTGTCTACGTGGAAATACTGAAATACAGTCCTTAAATACGAAATCAAATCATATAAGATGGGCGAATGTCAACCGTCCACATTCCCAGGGACGGTTGTGACAGGCATAAAAATAGGTTAAAATAATAGGTATGGCATAAACACCAAAATAACTCTTGTTATCAGAAACAAATTTTATTGTCAAACATATTTAACACGACACAGCATAATCATTAAATAAACATTATAATATAACAATATATAAGAAAACATTTTTTTATTTAAAGTTATTAAGAAGTATTTGTAAAATTTTTTTTTCTTATATTGAATTTTTCTTTGCCTTTTTCTTCGGCATTTTGTCTTAGTTAAGTTAATTTATTTTTTAAAGTTTAAAATGCATGTCAAAACCGCACCCACCAAATTTGTCACATCGTTATGGCTGAGCTAAATCATCTATGCAAAAACTAATTGCTGGTAAATTAACTACTAATGCTCAACTTGCAGCAAAATAACAATCAAATTGATTATCTGTATATATGTAACAGTTATTATTAAAAGAATTCTAACATGAAAACTTATTTTTGACTTTTTAAAAGCAATGCGGTCTCAGATCACGTTAATGTAGGGCTGTGTCTGAAAGCAATAATGGAAACTTGTTCAAACAAACATACTACATCTTTTTCCTCTTGAACCCTCTCTCAAAATCAGTTATATGTAGTTTAGCTGTTATGACGACTGTCACTACCGTACCCTGGCGAGACACAACTGTACCCAGTCTCCCTCTACTATTACAAAAAAATTTTAAATTTATATTCTGCAACAAAACTTCTGAGAAATTATACTCAGAAGCTACGTACGTAGAAAACATATGCTTGAGATAATTTTGAAAATGTATTTAATATTTACTTGCAAAATACTACATGATTCATATTCATATTCTCATAGATTTTTTATGAAATATGCGTCCACTTAAAAAAAACTTGTTTTATTTTTGAAAACAGTATTCTTTATTTTATTATTTTTCTCGTCGCTTCGAGACATTTTGAATCGTTTGACACTAAAATCGAGAAAAAGGCGAAGACCAAACTTTTAACTTTTGTCAAAGAGTCAAAAGTAAGTTGTTAACGTTT